TACACAGCTGGATGCCACTAAATCTGGCACACTGGAACTTTAAATAACTATCTGAGGTAAAATGATCTAATTTGTCACAGAAAAAAAGCATAACTTAGAGAAAGGTCACAAAATGAACACTTGTGTAACCGAAATCTTTTTTTCTTCTTTCCTATTTTATTATATATATGGGAGCCAATAGACTAAAATACCACATTGTATGTAAAGTAGATAAATTAACTCCAGTTCAAACCAGTTACAACAGTAAAATACTGCTCACACATTGTTGCATTAGTAACATTCAAATCTGTCTCATAATATATCAGTCACAGGGGCCAGTGCAATTTGCTGAAAATACTTCTGTACTTTCTTTGAATGCAGGACCTTTACTTATAATGGAGTATTTATATATTGCTGTATTCTTACCATTACTTCATTAAGAATCTGAATACTTCCTCCATTACTGGTTATGGTGTTGAGATTTGTGGGCCTCATTTAGCCTGGGTATGAAACCCAAACTGGTCTTAGATGAGGGCCCAGACAAACAGTGACTCAATCTCCTATTACGTTCTTATATGAGTGAAAACCTGATCCAATTAAAGGCAGCAGAACCCAGTCCTTGAGCCAGACTCATGTGTGTGCACCTGGATGTTCATTGACCTGAAAAGGTAATACCTTGGAGAACCACCATCTTTAGACATGCTGGCACTTAATCACTTTATTGGTCAGATGTAGAATTAAATTAAACCTTACACTGAGGCATGCTAAATTTGAGATAAAGTAGTTAAGTAAATCTAGGTTAAATTATAACATAGTTGCAGAAAAAATCGAGTCATGCTGACTTTTGTACTTGTAGCTAGTTCTGTACACAACAGCAGTGTGGTGGCAAACCGAGATTCCTTTGTGGTACATTGTTGCCTTTCAGGCAACATGCACATCTTAGCAGTTTTCTAAGTTATGTGCATACAAATTAATGTCTTTATGCTTACAAAATTATGAGTCCAATTTAGTACAGTAGTTAATGAAAAATTAGTGGCTTTTCCTTGCAATGGTTTTGTAAATGTATTTCTGCCACTCGTTCAGCCCTTTGTGGTATAAAATTGCCATTTTGGACCAAAGAAAGTGAAAGTATTTGCAGGTTCTACTGAGTCTTTTTCCAGTTTACAGCTATTAATACAGCTAGGGACAAAAAGTGAGTTATGCAGGCTTTTGCAGTGTTTGTGGAGTGATATTTTAATGTCTGCTGTCCAGTCATGAGCTGGTCTGTCCAGAAACTACTATGAATGATCAAACTATGCTTACCACTTTGATGTTTTTTTTTATTTTTATGACAAATGTTTGTAGCCATATTTCTTTGGTCACCACAGAATGTGGTGTATTTGCTTACTTCAGTAATGTTAAGCTAATATATTATTTTGTCTTTTGTCTATTTAATTTCAATGTACCTCTTATGTTAGTCTATGAACTGCACAAAGGAAAATAAGGCATTAGACCAGGCTTATCATTTTATCGACTGGAAGCTACAAACAGAATTTGCCTGCATTTGACACCATATCTCATAATTACGAGAACCAAGATCTTGTAATTACGAGATAAGATAAAGAAAAAGGAAACGTCTGTAAA